TGGTGGTGTGTGTGTGTGTGTGTGTGGGGGGGGGGGTTTAAAACGGTCACCAAGATCAATACAGCTTCGTAATCTGTTGGCCACAAGGCAGAGCAGCGTACAATGGCAAGGCCGGGTTGTAAATACAGGGAGAACTTGCTGTGCTCCTGACAAGCATGGCTAATAGAAAATATCCCCATTAACATTTTACACTGCGGCTCAAGCGAAACACAGGTTGTCGATTTCCAGCTCCTCCTAACAAATGTAAACAATTCCTTAAAGTGCCACCAATTTCCTCACCAGTGTACCCAATTCTGTCTGCATCCAATCAGGAGCTTCCCCTGACCAATCAAATGACAAAACAGATGGCATTCCTTGGCATGGATTCATGTCTCTAAAGAAATTATCGCAAGACTTCACATGGCTTCTCTGGTAACCTGATAGACAAATACCCAGAAGAAAATAGTGACTGAGTTCATTTTAAAAAAGAAAATCTGCTGCAGGAAACAGAAATGGCTCACAAAAAGTAGTGGTTGTGATAAAGAAGACAAAAAGAGGGCAAATTCGGTCTGGCAGAAAATGTGCAACAGACAAGTGAGAGTGGAAAGATCCAGGCCTGGAGCAGAGTGGTTTCAGTAAGACAAGAACACCATGATATCTGGCTGGAGGTTGGCAGACGCATGAATGTGCATAACACAGACATGTCAAGTGTCACTGTACAGGAATGGGGACATGTCAGATAAAGGGACATGAAGTAATGGTGGAAGACTAAGCTCCAGCCTAGGGCTGCCACGATTACGTCAACTATCAAAATTGTTGACGACTAATTTAATAGTTGACGCGTCGTTTGAAGCTTTGTAAGATCCCAAAAGACACAGGAATAAATAGTAGAATTTAAGAGTGTAATAACGGACTGAAACAGAAGATGGCAGCACTGCATGTACAAGGATGCCAGCTGCCGTTAAACCCCAAAGAAGAAGAAGCAGTGTCCGGTATCGTAGCTGTGTCCAAATTCGGGAACAGCATCCTCCTGTGCCCACATTTGTAGGCCGATTACGTTACAGCGACACGACAAAGAATGTCCAAATTCGAAGACTCCGACAAATGCGCCCTTCATTTCCCCAGATTTGAAGGATGGGTCCGGGTGTATACTTCGTGGCCCAACCTATCCCAGAATTCATAGCGCGGCCCAGCTCAGTTTCCAACAATGGCGGCAACTAGTTAGTTTTAATATTACTCTTATTATTCTTTCTGGGTCACAAAATAAACATTTAACTTATTTTCAGGAGAGAATGTAGCTGTGTAAACCTCAAATATCTGCTCAGTTTATCAAGACACCACATATTTTCAAAAGCGCTCCAACGTTTTCGAAGACGTCTGTTATCCACCAGCTCGATAGCTAGCCGGGGTTCAAGGCTCACTAGAGCCGTGAGAACACCGGACTCCCGGCAAATCGTTTTCAAACCCTCCGCGGTCTTTCGCTACTCAGGTTAAACATGATATATAAGTCACTTAGATAACTTAAAAATGTTATTGTTTGGCTTTTTTCAGTATTTTATTTGTTCCTGAGTAAATCGGTTTGGCTTTTTACACAGCTGAATAAACGTCAAGCAGACAACTGATTATCAGAAGTGTGAGATGCTCGAGAATATACTCCAGTGTCCTGTTATATTTTAGATAGCAAGGAGCAGACGGCTGAGTTTATTAAACTCACAGATCACAATCTGCAAATTTCATTAAAATTTAATAAACTATCATCTTGTCTTTATTTTTAGTTAGCACATAGCTTAAACACTTAAAGCTGTAACCTAATGATAGTTATATAAGAACAGATGCTGCTGGTGCAATAAGCTGTACATTGTACGTCCAAGCAACATATTTTACTTTTTTTTTTTCTAAATCAAATCAATACAGCACAGTTAAAGATTATGGTAACATAACAGTCAATTCAATGATAGATCATGTTCTCCACACAACTGTGCTCAAATTTGTTTGCATCTTAGCTGGCCTAATTACATATGCGCTATGCACAAATCCAAATGCTGTAGTCACAATATGCAAGACAGAAAATGTCAGTTTGGACTGTGACTAAATGAGCTGATGACGAATGTCTGAGGTTGACAGCTTAAAAAAATGAGTATAAACCTGACAAAAATGTCAGAACAGGGACTACACCACCTGACATTTTAGGAAAAGACAGGAAGGCGATCTAAATGTGCTGTTGCCACCTAATGGACAACCAAAACTTCACATTTAGATACAAAAAAATGCTAATGTGAAGTCTGATTCTGAAGATTCCTGCAAAGGGCGTAGGCCTTCACTCTGATGTCTCAGAACAAGGTACAAACATCTAAGACTAACAGAAGGCCAAGAATATTAGTGCTGGATTGTTACTAAAATAAATGAATTCTCCAGCAAGGTCATGAAATGTTTTAACAGGGATATTTTTTTGGTCTTTTTAATCACCAATAGAGTTTAGAAGAAACAGCTGCAATTCAGCTTTAATTCAAAGGGTTAACCAAAATATATGAAACCCTCTGTTACCATAAGAAATTAATATAATCATAAATAAACTACTCAATTTCAGTACTTTGTCAAGAGTCATTTGCAGGCAATGCAAATGACTCTGTAGTCATTTGCACTCTGTTGCCTGTAGTCAATAACATGTGAACATCAAAGGATGGGTTTGCTTTGTGATGCTTCGCCAGGCTTTTCACTGTAGTGGTTTTCATGTGTTTTCGCTGTGTATTGGTCTTTCTGCCCAATGCTGCTTGACTGGTCTGAGATTATAGACCAGTATATAAAGGATGGATGTAGCCACAGTGCCATCACCCACTGGTTTGGACTCTGCTTTAAAGGAGCTTATCCGACTCACAATTCATCACAATTCTAAGGTTATTTCCCATAAAATGTTCAATGTAAATGTAATGTAAACAGCATGTTCTTGTTAGTTTTAAGTAAGCTAATATAATAGTAGCATTTTATTGGAAAAAAAAAAGTTGTCTGTGGTAGACTGTAAATGTGCATTTTAATGCCTTAAACTTGGGCATTTTAACATGGGACTATGGGGATTCAGCTTCAAGTGGCCACTAGAGGGGGCTGTGATTTTTGGCACTGCATGTTGGCTTCATTTTTCAGTCCTGGAGATTTCTGCTTAGTTGCGACTTCAAAAGCTCTTAGGTTATGTTAACATTACTTTTTGAGTTAATGCCCATCTGTAATGAGCAGACAGTGGATCTTTATATACTTCATACTTCTAAGGCATTTGGTCTTCTGTTACATCACTGAGAAACACTAGTGACCCTAGTCCCACAGGAAACCAAACATTCCCATGCATCTCACTGCTCTACCATGTTTTACAGAAGATGCTGTGCACATTAGATCATGAGCACTTCCAGGTCCTCTTCATAGTCTTGTACCATCATTCTGGTTTAAGAAAATTCTAGTTTATTTAAAGCAGTCTTACCTGACCTTACTGTTACCAAATTGATGACTGGTTTCGATCTTGTGAAATGTTTTTATTTGTATGAGGTCTTCTATTTATAAGTAGTCTACTGTTATGAAGATAAATTAAGTGTTCTGTGTTCACCACTGTTGTCCTCACTGTAGACATTGAGGGGCCAAAATAAACATATTTGCTGGTAAGCCTGGCAAAGTCTACTTGACTGTCAATTTGGTAGCTGTCTTGCCAGATCTCTCTCGAGTTTGACTTTTTTGGGCTAACTGTAACACAGCTTGGAACACATGGAATAAAATCTAATCCATTTACATGTTTAATGAAGGAACACACCAAACTTGCCTATAAATGGCCTTTGTAACAGTTGTCCAATTACTTTTGGTCACCTGAAAACCCTAAGGTTTCTCATTAAAGAACTTTAATTGCTTAACTTGTCATCTAATTGGGATGTGAATGCCCTTAAATTCAAGCTTAAAGTCATCTGTACTTCAAGCTCAGATCCTTTATGTAACTAGCTTGAATGTATTTTGGTAAACATGGAAAATAAAAACTGTCAATATTCAAATACATATGCCCTAAACTGTATTTTTGCCTCTCCCAGATTAATTTGTGTGCTAAAGGAATGCTACTCAGCTTTCTATATAAGACCACTGGCAAGCACTGAGCAGCACTGCTAATATGCTGCATGAGTTTGAGACAACAGCTCACCAAGGATAGACTATTCATTTGAGAAGGTCCCAAAGGTCTGCGCCAAAACACAATCAAATTAAGATGCCTCTGCAGGAGTAAAACAATGATGTTTCAGCAGCCTTGGCACATTTAAAAGATTTTTTTTTTTTGGCTGATGGAGAGAACACTTTGGATTCTCTTCTGTGCGAGATTAGAAAAAACATAATTATCAAAAGATTAATTTAGAGTTTAATTGTTTTTCCTTCCCTTATCTCTGTTTGTGAATTTCATGTCTCAGCTTACAGAAAGAGAGAAACACAGTCTGTAACCATGGCCCAAGTTTATCAACAGCACAAAATCCATGTTACACGTTTCACAGCAATCAGTGGTACAAGAGAGAGAAATTTCTTCTCGTGTTACCTAGATATAATTTTGGATATAGCCTTTACAAATATATCATATAACTATAACAAGCAATTATTTTCATCTTCACAGCTTTAGACAGTTAAGGCTACATTTTCAGATAAGCTATGTAATGGTACTGTCTACCAATGCTTGTCAATGCTTTTCATTTGACAAATGAGTCAGGATTGGCATTTTCCATTCGTGAGAAGGGAAGAGAGAATGTAGTAAATGTATAAAGTCTGCTGCAAGGGTCTGGAAATGCGATTAAGGACTTCATGGTGTACAAGTAAAAGAAAGCGTAGGACCCCAGAGTGGTCCTGATGATGCTCAACTTCAGAGAAGTTCAGTGTAGTTGGCATTCTGAGAAATGAGATCTAAAATATTCAGAGAAGCCAGCGGCTGTTCAAAAACTATCATAAAGAAATTACCATCACCCTATACATTAGATTAAAAAGCCACTTTGAGCATAATTTATCGTCTGCTGCCTTCTCACCTGCAAAGGAGAGTCACATTTCACTGCTCCGATTATGCAGATCAGGTCCCGAGTATAAATACCCAGTCACATTTTATAAGGCAGAAGAAAAGATTACGCCGACTTGTCACAAAATAAATTTCAACTGTTTAGTGTCTTATTTCTTAGCGTAGAGCAGACACTGGTATTGGAAGGTAAATAAACAAAACCCTTTGGATACAATCGATTGGCCCTCCACTCACAAACATAGACATTTGCCTTCATGTCAGTGAGGAGGGGTCAGACACAGCCTGCTTAAGCAGGATCAATACAGAGGACAGATCCATTAGTGCGCCACAGTGCAAGAGTAAGGTTAAGTACCACCCTCTTTAGTCCATGTGAGGACTGCCTCATGTATCAATCATGTGCCAATCGAAACAAACTAACGCGCAGCCTATAAAAATACTACCCACCTCACGTCTCACACAAAGTGCACGGCTATTTCAGGTCATGTTGAACACTAGGGGATAATTGAAAACCTGGCACATAATGCAAAAAAATATATATTTTAAAAAAATGTTGTAAACTTGTCAGCATACTCAAAGGAGCTTGCAAAGAAAAGCGTCTGGACTTCTTTAAGTTGCTTGAAGACGTTTCACCTCTCATCCGAGAAGCTTCTTCAGTTCTAAGGTGAAATGGTGGAGAGTCCCAGATTTAAACCTAGTGGGAGTATCCCCTCACAGAGGGACAAAAGGACCCCTGATGATCCTCTAATCGCCTGAGCCAAGGTGTGAAAACGGGTGTGGGTCCCAATCAGCCAGGGTTTCGGGTGAGCTCATTGTGAAACCTGGCCCCACCTTATACCTACACCCAGTTTCACACCTTGGCTCAGGCGATTAGAGGATCATCAGGGGGTCCTTTTGTCCCTCTGTGAGGGGAAACTCCCACTAGGTTTAAATCTGGGACTCTCCACCATTTGACCTTAGAACTGAAGAAGCTTCTCGGATGAGAGGTGAAACGTCTTCAAGCAACTTAAAGAAGTCCAGACGCTTTTCTTTGCAAACTCCTTTGACTACGATGACCTGGATGACTGAGAACCTTCACAGACATATTGTCAGCATACTGTTCTATAACTCAGCATCCACCTCTTAATAAATTCAGCTAAGCGTCAACACACATGACCACATGTACAGAAAGAGCCATGAAGACACACTTTATGGCTAATTTCCACATAACTGTATGTGTTCAAGTGAAAACACACACAAACAACATACATATACACACACCATAGCCACGCAAACACACGCACACAGCAAGAGAAAAAAAATGCTACAATCAGCATAATCACACAGAAATGAGTCGGGATTTCGTTTCTTCTGAAAGGCGATTAGAAGAGCAAAAGACACATTTTCATAGATTAAATGTGATTTCCATTTATATCTAATGCTTCACTGAAGCAACCCCCAAATTGTGGCTAATGGGGGAAAGCTAATCTTGATAATGAGAATCAGTGTGTGTACTCTTACAACTTGGGAAATGCAAGCTGCCTTTTAAATCCTTAGAGTTCTTTATTTGTAACCAATATCTGCATCTATGAAGCAGTCTTTAAGTTTGTGAAAAAAATAAGTAAAGCCTTATGGCAATAAATATATACCAGATTTTACACTTGCTGTAAAGCCACTTTGTATGATTGCAAGAACACATGAGCAATTTCTACACTGCATTATCTATGAAACTCGAGCCTACTTACCAGCCTCTGAGCTTATATGCCTCAGGGATGTCTGGGTTGATCATAAGAGTACTGCTGAAGGATGCAGAGAGTGATCGGCCTCCAAAGTCTGAAAGCTTTGCCCCCTTAATGGCAACGACAGGTTGGCTAGATCCGTCAAACTTTTCTGCCTATGAAAAGAAAGAAATACAATATTTAATTTGCTTTCTCCTTCATTTTTGCAAACTGACAACATCAGATATACGTGTTTTTGGACAAAGATCTTTTATGGTTTTAAATAAATATGGGCAGAGGTTCATCAAAAGATTTAGAAAATCCCTGTCCACAAAGGACAAGGCAGAAAATCAATATTGGATGCTCATGATCTTCAGGCCGGCGGCACCACATTAGAAACAGGCATGAGACTGTCATGGAAATTACTCCATAGGCTCAGGAACACTTCCTCAAATCATTGTCTGTGAACAGTTTGCCATGCCATTTACAAATTCAGGTTAAAAGCTCTCTCGCGAAGAAGAAGCCATTTGTGAACATTCAGAAACACTGCTGTCTTCTCTGGGCCAAAGCTCATTTAAAATGGACCGAGACAAACAGGGAAGCTGTTCTGTGGTCAGAAGAATCTAAACTGGAAATTCTTTTTGTAAAACATGCATGCTGTGTCACTGGACTAAAGGGGAGAAGAACCATCCAGCTTGTTATCAGCTCTTAGATCAAAAACCTGCACCTCTGAATGTATAGGGGTGTACGGGTGCCTGTGGAATTGGCAGCTTGCACGTCTGGGAGGACGCCATCAATGCTGAAAGGTACATACAGGATTTAGAGCAACATATGTGCTATATATGTTGTTGTTTTTTGGGGGGGGTTTTTGCATATTTTAGCAAGACTAGGCTAAAACACACTGCAGATATTACAACAGCATGGCTTCATAGCAGAAAAAGGTTGGTGTTGAGCTGGCCTGCCTGCAATACACATATTTCACCAACTGAAAACATTTGAAGCATCATAAAACGAAAAGTACAACAAAGAAGACCCAGGACTGTCAAGCAGCTAGAGTCCTATATTAGACAAACACGGGACAACGATTCTCTCCCAAAGGTCCAACAGCTGGTCTCAGTTCTGAGACTGTGGTGTTGTTAAAAAAAGAAAGGACACTACACAGTGGTAAACATGGCCCTGTGTCAAGATGTTGAGTTATACTGATGCTATCAAATTCAAAATGACTCCCCCCCCCACCTAATCTATCAGTTTGAACATTTGATTATGAGACTTGCATATAATTTTATGTATGTTTTTAATCTACATTTTACACAGCACCCCCACTTTATATTTTTATCGTTTTGGTTATGTGGTTTCATTTTGGATTCAATTAGTTTTGCCATAACTTTAAATTGTTTTTGCCTTAAAACTAGAAACTAAGGATTACAAGAGGTCTGATTTCCCCCAGTAGTGGCAGCAGCAGGGTAAAAGAAAAGTAAACAAATAAAAATCAAATGTCAAACATATTTTGCCTTCTAACAAGATAAAACTATAAACACACTTGCTGTTCAGTTCATAAAACCAAAGAAAGAAGAGCAGCGCAACAGTAAAGCTTTCATATATTGGGGGAAATATCTCCAACACTTGATTTTTGGCAAATCTATTGTTCTTTATAAACTATACATCTTGTGCAGTTCTCTGAATCCCTCTGGAAAAAGTGTAAATGTCGAACAAATACAGGGAACACTGCTTCTTGTCTGGAGGAAAAGAATTGGTGGTGAACTCAGCGCAGTCCCTCTGAGCCACAGGTAAAAATCAACTGCAAGAGCACGCTTACTTTATCACACAGTGACAGGAAATGTAGTCAATAACTTCAAATCTATCGCCTTCTATCACGCAACACGCACACTGTTAAATCAGTGCTCAGAGCTGTTCACCTGTGACCACCCAGTGCACTGAAGAACCTTTTTCATTCAACGCCTTTCTGACATAATTCTAACCAAAAACTAAGGATTAAAAGCTGCACACAAGGATGATTTAGCGTAGGCATTTGCTTTACAAGTCACTGGGCTCTAGCTTTAGACCAGTATCTATCATTTACACCAACTAGTTTTATCCCTCCTACGTAGAATAAAACCATCTGCTTAAATTTAGTTCAGGTAATAATTAATTTTTGGAAAGAAAATTGTTCTGAGAAGAAAGCTTTAACATGTTGATGCACTGAAAACCTGTTAATGACTTTCACCACTTATTTGGAAAGTCTAGACACACGTTCCATTACACATTTTGTCAAGTCCATACTCACTTCCTCTCCCCACAGTGTGACAGTCACCACCTTCCCAGACATATCCATCAGACTGAGTGTTCTCTTAGACACTTCACGGTTGGACTTGGTTGTCAGGCGGGATATGTCGTCCACACTCTTGCACACTCCAATTACATCTGTAAAAGGATATACACAGCAGAGAGCATTTGTTTTTCTATTCCGCATCCTTGTGATTCACAGCCTACAGCAGAGTTACAAGTATCTAGCACAAAACACAAAAACAACAACACACAAACAAATAAATACTGTGTCTGATTTGTTTTTTTCCCCATACACAATTACATCCACACACAGGTCATTCCATGTCCCACAGCTTACGGCACAAATTGGCAGTTGGCGATTCATTCATGACGTCAGAGGCCAGCACGCCAGGAACTTGCATCCATAATATTGGAGAGAAATCAGTAAAGGGCTTTAACTGACTAACGCAATCAAGCACAGTAAACCGGCATCTCCATCAGCAGTCATTTTTAAACTCCAACTCTGAGCCACCGAGGATTTTAAACACATTCAACCACTACAAAACTTCTTGATGCTACCTAGCAGGCAGAAGAGAAGTTACTCAAAAAGCAATTTCCATTGAAAGAATTACAAGCCAGCTTCTTATTACCGCCTCACTTTACCTATGACAGCAGGTTCTCATTTTCTTACCATAGGGCCCAAAGTCAATCTGCACTACAGGCCATTACTGTCATCAGGTTTATTAATACCACTTTTATCTGTCTGCTCGTATAGTGTAATTACCTCAACCTCCCAGCATATCCAGTTCGACTTTCCAATTCAGACTTTATTCTCACCTTATGATCACTTATTATTGGGCGCTCGGGAACGCCTCTGTTGGAGCTGGGCTCAGAACACCGGCTGGTTGATTTGTGCTTTTTGTAATACACAGTAGTTAAGAGAAATGTAATGCGTTTAGGCCTCATAGTCACCTGCAGTTTGGTGAACAGTTTGCTCACCGATTGAAAATTACATTATCGCTCCCCTGTGCACTGCGTTATGCAATTCTGCTCTATTGTTCCGGTTACATAAGGCAACATCAGAATTAATGTCTCATGAAATAGATTGGGGAAACATGGCTACCATTTAAAAATATCATCCTCCTAAAGTACTGCAGTATAAGAGGGTGTAAAATGTCAATCGCAACGATTTAGATATGCCCATTCTGAATAATCAAGCTTATACCAAATGGTTCCCCAATATCAAAAATCAAATGATTTAAAAATAATGTAAAAAATGATTGCATGTGTTCTTAGAAACATGCTCTCTTTCATGACAGCTGTAGCAAGCTGTATGCAATATTTTGTACTTTAAGATAAAAAATGTCAGCATAGTGTAGGATTTCTTTTCAGAATTAATTTTAGCCAGTTGAGACTTTCCGAAATCTTGTAATGAAAAAAATCCTGATGTACCTTTACGATTTTTTGCTGCACTGATTATTGTGCTTCTCTTAATTACCGACTGCTTGATTGCGCAGCCAATTCCTAGGTGAGGTTGTGTCTCTCTCTGTCACAAACCATTTGTCTGATGAAAGTCTTGCACCAATACAAATTAATTCATTGCATGTTAGATTATGTCTCCAACTTCTGAGGTACTCAGACACACATGACACACCTCTCTCATGTGATAGATGTCCAGTTTTTTTTTCCTCTGTACTTTTTGGGGAACATGTTGGAAGGATTAAGAGGCTTTAATGAAATGAATGGATATTGTCTGACGAGAAGACTTGGTGAATATTTCAGGAATATGCAAAGGCACTTTTGATTTCTTTTTCACACAAAGTGCCATTTATTTGCAGTTAAAGGCTGCAGGCTGTTTATCAGTTCACCTCTCAAAATAAACTGTGCGAACAAAAGAAAGAACTGACACAGTTATGTGGGACCTTAAAGACACATGCTGGGTTCAGAAATTCCTGTCTAGATTGTTACTTCTACTCCTTACCAACAATAGCATCTTTGTCTCTGTTCTCCAGGTCACCGATAGAGACAAAGTCACATTGCACCATGGGAACGTCACAGCTGTCCTCACAGGGGATAATGGTGGACTCGCCATTGAGTGTCATCTCATAGTCATTCTTTACTGATGTGTACTGCTTGTTGGCGAGCTTAAGGGAGCCCTTGGAGATGTAGTAGACCTGGCCCACACAGATGGATGAACCACATGTTAATCAGAGATCTGGGTAGCATTTCACCTGACTGAATGGCGCAAACAAGATAGGACTTCAGGCAGTCAGTGGGAGGGGGAGAGGTGATAAACAAAGGCTGGCAGATGATCATAAGCAGCTTATTGTATGGGTACAGTGCAGCCAGATGACTCATTCATAGTCTCTGTGGTTTTAACTCACAAAGTACTGGCAGCTGTTGATAGCACAATCTACAGCCAAATCAGTCTTTGACGGCGCAGTAAAAGGCAGTTTTGGCATAATAATTAGGACATATTGAATCATTATCTGAAGGAACATCTCACCTTGCCAGCCTCAATAAGACTGTAGAACTTGTCCACTTCTTGGTTGAAACCAGTCACTCGTATCTCTCCCTGTGGAAAAATATAAATATTTAATTTAAAACAAAAAACATATGTCCAAATGGTTTCTAAATCAGGAGATGTTTGGTGGGGGGGTTTTTTTTGTTTTTTTTTTTAAACACAAAAATTAACAGTCAGAGTACAAATACACTTACACTCTCATCAACAATCTCCATGGAGAATAGCTTGCCATCCCCCCGAGAGTTGCTCCACGTACGAATGGAGCTCTTGTTGGTCACACGAGCGCGGATCGTCCACCTATTACAAAAAAAAATAAAAATCTGAGCTTATCATTTCTGCATTCTTCATTTTTCAGGCACCTTATGAGCCTTATGAGTCAGCTCCACACACATGTAGGGATTCATGCACTTGGTATTGTGACCTTTTAAACATCTGCCCCCTAGAAGACCTTTGCATAAATATCACTGAGCAACAACATCATTAAACCAGTTTAATTTACTTGCTTCTTTTGCAACAGGTTTTTCACAGACATTTTGATTACCATTTAGAAAGAAAATAACAGATGTACTTTAATTAGCCTAATATTAAGTTAATTGTGCCAGCAGTATGAGCTCTGCACTGGCATTCCTCTGTAAGATTTGGTCAATGGTTAGTAGTGCCTGTGTTGGTTGTTGGAAAGGCTTGTGCAGTCTAACATGCATACATTCATATTGGGTTGTAGTCTCCTTGATCCATTTTAAGACTGAAACTGACCTTCCAAAAAGTTTTCCAAACACGTGTTCCATGCAACACTGTCGTTACACTGTAGAGCCTGACCAAGTCTTGGCTATTTGACATTTGCGTGTCACAGAATTGTGAACCTTAGAGTCATAATTACTTCCATCAGTCATGGCACCACAGCTGAAGCGATCAGTGAGAAGGGCCCCAGGATATGTCCAGAGTTTCCACCAATCACCATCGACACCCACGGCAAGTCCCCCTTCGTACCAAGCCCCGCAAAGCCACCCCTCAGATCCCATCCTTATTTCAAAGTTATGGATCTGGAATTCCATTGTCAGTATAGTGGTACAGTGGTTAGCACTGCTGCCCCAGGGCAGCGAGGGTCCTGGGTATAAAATCAGGGAAACTGCATGTTCTTCTGTTCAAGTGGATTCTTTCCGGTTACACAGTCCAAAGACAGTGTGATAAACACGGGTTTGGCTATTTTAAATTGGCCACCAATAACTACGATAATTAAGGACTGAATTAAGGATTGAAATGTAATTGTAGTTTATACCTTCTACTTTATTTAGGGTTTAGCAAAAATACTGCAATAATGTTTAGGAATTATCGGGTTCAAAATTACTGGATTAATGACTCAAAAGCAGTTTTAGTGCCAGCTGTTTCCTGGTTTTCTGCCATTTCTTGACAAACAGCATCTCCCAAGTATTAATTTTGCATTTCCTAACTGCACTGACAAACAGCTGGCTTAATGATGGCCTCCTTTCCTCACATGAATACTTCTTTGGTTGACATTCAGTTTTTTGCCATATGTACACAATGCCTTTTTGCTGACCCAGAAATATCAAATATATAGCATTTAGAGATTAACGTGACTGGCAACAATACATACTTGGACTGGTAGGGGTTGAGGCTTGCAATGGGCACAACTTTGGAGCTTCCCCCTGGAGTATTTGGCATAACAGATGGAGCTTTCTTCCCAAAGTCTCTGTTTAAACCTCTGTTCACTGCTGAGGGAATGAGGAGAAAAATAAATGATCAATGAAGAGCAGTGATGAAGAGTCATGAGAGAGGCACATTATTCAGAGACAAATTACAAAAAGAAACCATCCAGTTTCTTTGGATTGCAATTGCTTGATCACTGTAATTACCTCGTATCATGAGAAAGAAGTCCATCCCACCAAAACCCAACAAAAACAACCCATTGACTTAAAAGAACATTTACCATCACTGACTCTTGAAACTAGCAAGCAGGAACAACTCAAAGAGGAAACAAAAATCATGTCAAGCCAAGTTGTTGGCGATGTGTGATCCAGCATTTTGGTGAGAAGGATGATTCACATTTCACAGAATCAGGGCAGAGTGTGAAATGCTATAACAAACTGGAGCTGCTCTTCCCCCGGAGAGCAGTGCTGCCTGACTTTGAGATTTTCCGTTTGAACAAGCGCTGCACATTTGATTTGTGTGCGTCTCACGCGGAGGATTAGAGTTCAAAGTGTCCACTTAAGTCCTCCCGCGTTGCCAACCACTGCACTTCTGGTAATTAAGCCCCCAGATCAAGCAGCACACACAGAGAAATGAACAATGACTGTGCTGATGAGGAGGGTGGTTGCCACAACCTCAATTCCCACACGGCAGATTAGAGGGATGAATACCTGCTATGACACACTGGAAGACAGCAAAACCCTTATGATAGCTGGACTGCACACCTCACCTGGTCCAAGTTGTCCGCTATGCTGTGATATACTGCTCATCTCTGACATGATCAAGTGACAGTGTTTCAAAAGCAAATTCAATACTTCATTCATCTCTTTCACACTCTCCTACGAGTCTGTGTTGCTGCGTGTTTGTTCAGTAGCGCTTTCAGTCAAAGGAAGATAAACATGGTGATTGACACACGCAGGCACAATCAGCTCTCCATCTAGACAAGCTCAAGTAGCTGTTGAATTTCATGATGCTACACAGTAACACGAAACAAGACAGTTGGAAGATGTGTGTCAATAATAGGACATTTGAGGCAGCTAAAAAGAAAAATATTTCACAATGGGGTTGTCAAAATTACTCAAGTCCCATAAATCTGTGGGTCACCCAGAATACCACAAAGCAACAGAAAAATGCTACCACCTGGTGGTCCTTTATGTACTACATGCTCACAGTGTGTTTTTCTGTTCCCATATACAACCTCCAGAGCTGAAAATTGAAGTAAACATGGAAAAAGTTGAAGTTCCTCCAGGTGCCACTTGAGGCTGGTCACAAAACTGAGTCAAGTTTAAATGCCCAATTTTGCAGCATTAAAAAAGAAAAGAAAAAAATCCTATGCAGCACTCTACCTCCTGAGCTACGCCCTAGCCCTCGTACAAAAAAAGATTTTGATCACCAAGGAAAGTTTCCCCATTTACAACAACTCTGAATGGGATTTTTTTTTTTTTTTTACATAACTCAACCACCTGGACAGTTGTATTAGGGGTAACACCACACTGATTGGCAGGTGTACCGACACAGGCTGCTTTCCAGCGTTTTTAGTCCCTTCCTTGACACTAATGTGTGTCTGCGAGTTGCACTTAGTTTATGAATGCCGCGTGCTCACTAAACTAGTATTAGCTGATACATTAAAAATCTCACCCTTTCATCCACATAAAGGTAACTTCTGACAGTGTTAAACCTTCAAAATGTAGAATCCAAAGCCAATGGGTGATGTCACAATGACCCCCCACACACACACACACACACACACACACAAATCTTAAGATTTCATTAATTTGAATTCATTTTCAAGATTAAAATAAACCTTTCACTCACCTTCATTTCTATTCTGTGGCTGCAGCGGGGGTCGGTTTTCAGGGACAGGAGCTGACTGTGGGCCTTTACTTTGCCCTGTAAGAAAGACCTGACATTAGTGTTACCCTGCAGTAACAGTATGACCCATTATGTGTGACTAATGCATCTCTAAATTAGTCCCACTTCATAAGCGTATTCACTGAGCACTGCTGTAATATCAATGAAGTATATTTCAAAGACTTACCCTCAGTGTAAGGAGTAGGGTCTCCTATTCTACCGGCAACATCTTTTGCAGGCTTAATGACATCAATTTCCAAAATGATTACTACTCGTCTGTAATGAGACATGTCCATTAACAACAGAAAACAGCCCTCTGCTCCGTATTTATTCATATTTAAGTGTTTTTAAGGCCTGCTTGCTTCCATTAAGTCGAGAACGTTTAAAAAAAAAAAAAGAAAGAAAAAAAATAAATGTGCAGAAAATGTGTATACCGTCCATCCTTCAGTATATTGGTCACGTGTCTCTTCAGATTACAGATGCAGTTTGGGGCCAGTATGTTTTCCTCAGCCATATGGTTCAGCTGGGTGGAGAGCATGAATGCTGCAGATGGTTTAAGAGAGGAAAGTCAGACAAGAGTGACCCAGGTTCCCCCTACTTAAGAGCCTCTTGAGAGCAATTGCTTCGTCTTTAACCCCATGCAAGTAGTCAATTTAGTAGAACATCTTTTAAAAAAAAGCCAGTTAAAATGGAATTTCATGTAAGAGATTTGTCAGAGAAAACTCGTGACTCTCAATAATTTAGAACAGATAGTTAGAATGGGTACATGAACATGTTTAAAACTTCAATGCAAAATACATCAGTGAATAAACTTAATAAAAACCTCACATGACAGAGTGTGCCTTCCATCACTCATCATCACCCGAAAGCGAGAAGGACCATTTCCTCCATCAAGCTTGCGAATATTCTGAAAAACAATATATGATTAAAACTGTTCAATAAATAAAATTTTAAAAAAAGACAAAAAAAAAAACACAACACATTTTTTGACCAATATTGTGTCCCTTATGTAAACTTACACATTCTGTGATTGCATTATTTAAAGTATAGAGGATATTTAGTTATTGCCTATGGGCCTGTACTCCTTATTCCCAGCTGCTTTCACAGTGAGATGGATTCAGTAAGGATGATTTTCCTGTAGTCTTTCCTCTTAAGTAAAGTCACTGCTCAGAGAGAGGTTTTAACTAAGAAACTAGCCTTTTCAAGTCTTATAGTGATTTGTCAGACCTGCCCCTTAAGAGGGGTCAGTCCCTAAAAAAATGTAACCAAATCTTTTACCATTTTTAAACATGTTTGAGCCCTCATAACATAACCGCAGGAAAGTATGTGTTCAGGGGGAACTGTCAAGGGCCATCAAAACAAGTAATAAGATATGAACTGAAATACCTCAGTTTGATATTTAGATTTTTATAAATTCAGTAAAAAGGACTGCCACAAGTTGAACGTGGAATGAATCGACAAACTCCCAACAGAGCATCCAACCGTGTGACTTGATTATTTACTTTTTCAGTAAATAATCGGAAAACCGACAGAAAATCCAGTGTCCCATTGTTTGTTAGTGCTCCTGTCACAGGCAATAACAGTCAAACCGACAGCAGTTTTTAATAGAGCTTTTCAGCCCTGTACATATATTTAGCTACCAAGTTAAGAGGGCTCAAAACTGACGCAAAATCTCGACCCCACACACTACACATACTTTCAGGGACAGAAACCAGATTTAACCCTTAGATGCACATGTGGGGTCAAAAATGACCCCAGGGGTTGTTTTTCTTCAAAATCTTTAAAATGCAAAGTTGTAATATATTCATATTCCAGGTATTCCTCATAAAACATGTTTGTAACATGAGGCCATTTGCATTTTTATTTATTTTTTCATTAATTTTAGAAAAATGCAGTTTTTGTA